AGCTCTAATAATTTTCTTTTACTAAGATGTTTAACCAAAACAAACTATTTGAATTAAACCTTACTTTGTATTGAATTAATCAAATAAACTCTTAATGAATTTAGAAAAGCAACATTAGACATAGTGTAAAAATCCCCGTAAAGTCCAATAGTTCTCGTAAGTTCGGAAGTGTATAGACTTGTTTGATCAATTTATATTAGAGTTATTTGTAACACAAAATCAATTTAATATTCGTTACTTTTACTGATTAATGAAAACAATTACGAATCTAAACAAACCAGATAACCGGAATGATTCGTTAACAATTAAAGTGGACAACAAAATTGAATCAAAATCAAACATTCAATTAAACACAAAACTGATCAAACTAACCAGTATACACAATAATGATTACTTGCACGAAAAGTCGAGTCATATGCGAAACGAAAACCTAGGATTTTTAGCATGACATGGCTAAAAACGAATTACAAGAAGTAGAAACAAAACCTAATTGAAAAGTCTTACTAAATGAAAATAAAAATCGAATCATTTGCTTCAAATTTATGTTTGGCACTCGAAAACCTCTAAAAATCGCCTCTTAGTCATCTGGTATCACGAATTGCGTAACTGGGGTGTTTTTGAAGCCTTTTTATGCGTCCAGTAAAAAAGTGGGGCATTCTACAATTGCATATATGATAAATGCAATCACATTTTTACTGAAAACATGTCTGAAAGTGATTTAATGAAGTACAATATCATGTTGGAACTTTTCATGACTTCCAAGCAAATCTGTGATCACTTATAAATTTTTGCAATCACATTTTTTGGTCTTTTTTTCTCAACTCAAAATTTTGGCACGTAGAAACCTAGAAGAAAGTATGCGAACATATCTGCGATCACATAAATAGGAACTACGACTGTATTTCTTCATTTTGTCTCATTTTGGTCGCAATTCTTCCTTTCAAACTATTCTAGATCATTCCTTAGCATCCTTCCTTAGCTCTATCTCCAATCAAGCTCCAATGCTTCCTAGAATGCATCATGAGATGTCATAGGTGTCAATGTGCTTCAATTTACCCTGAAAATCATAACAAAAGTGAGTAGTACGGGCATTCCACAAATATAAGGAGAAACATGCAATTTATAATAACATTAGGGAGATAGTTAACTTTTCGTAGAAAATACCAAGAAAAACGTGCTAAATGATTCATCAACAGAGAAATAAATAAGGAATAAAATATGCATGCAGAAACATAACAAAATGAAAAATAAACAACAATATGGAATAGAAAATAAACAACCTTAATTATTTTTTTCTCCTCTCTTTTTTATTTTTTTTACGATTACACTCTACACCGATGAAGCTTTAATGGAATCACTACAAAGATGACCATCCTGAAATCTTCCATGTATCACATACTCCTAAAGTTAGAAAGACTCGCAATTGTGTAACCCAATAATCCAACCATAGTTTTATTAAACTTTATACCTTAATTACCCTTGCGAGCCAAAATAACACAGTTCGAAATCTCATGTCCTCAAGACTAGATAGTCGAAAACCAGAATCGATGCATCCTTAAGAACCTGACACGTCTAAATCAACTTTTGCCGAAGCAATAGTGGGCCAAACCCTGTAGGAGTCTAACTCTATGCTTTCACTAGGTAGAGAATGGCAAATATTATATCACACAGTTCTTCTTGCGCTAGATTTGTCTTCGTTGTGGCTTTTGATTTGATTGAACTTGAATTTGTATCTTTGTCTTTAGCTTGAGTTCTTCAATCAACTTTTTGAATTTCTTGAGATTTCCTTGATTAAGTGCTTAAACTTTGACTTGGGTACCAGATTTGGTAATTGTACTCTTCTTTTCTTTTCGACTATGTGGATCTGATAGAAGGTTCTTAGTTACCGCGAGGGTAACACATGTCAACAAATAGGGCCATGTTCTGTGGGTTCAGACTTGTCGATAAAGGTTCTTTTTATACATTCAAAAGAAAATCATTCTGAAGCTGTTATTACCGCCCACATAGTGTTTCGGTACGACAATCTTTGTATTTTCTATGGCCGGTGTCTCAAATCACGGTGTTTTGAGTCCCCTAGTTATGGCAGTTGATTCTACACTTCCAATAATGATCCAGTCGCTTCAAACTTTCATTTTCCAATTTTGTAGAGCTATCGAATGTAAAGAGTATCCTCATTCTTTTTGAACATAACAAAAACATAAAGTCTTTTTGGTTATTTATTTATTTTTATATAAATGCGAATGCAAACATGTTAGGCGTGTCAAACCCAACAAATAAAGGGGTACGATATACTCCAAAATAATCCCACTATATTGCACTAAAAGGTAGTACCAGGCAAGCAGGGTCGATCCACAGAGACACAGGACAATTGGTCTATACCTATTTGCACAAGGTACTATAGTCACCAATAGTAAAAAGAGAGGAGGGTTTAGAATGTAATGATTAAACAAATAATTAAAAACATAAGCAATCAATTAAGTGCGTGAATTAAATTCAGAATTTGTGAGGACTCCAACCCATGTATGACAATTTAGCAATGTGACTCCAAGATGACACAATATTCATTCAATTCTATATAAGTTGGTACTTGAAAGTGCTAATAAGCTCTAACACTTCTCATTCACCATATTAATTAACCAAAACAAGCTCTTTGATTAACCCTAACCTTATTAACCTAATCTAAACAAGCTCTTAGGATTAGATTATAAGATTGCATGAAGCTTTATGTGAATGTTCCCAACAACACCCAATACCCTCATAAGCTCGGGAGTGTAAAAGTGTATGAATAAGATTTACACCAAATTCATTCAATAGAGATTAATTTAATGCTTGTTACTTGTTCAATTTCACAAAAAATTACGGATTTTGTAAAAGAGATAACTTGAATGACCTAACCCTAATTCAAATGGCCAATAAGAATCATAATTAGAATCAAACATTCGATTGAAGCAAAATCAAATTCATTAAATAGAAATTAAGAACAAATATCATGTCATATGAATGAAGTCACTACCAAGAAGTCAAAACATGAAATTGGAGAAATTAGGGTTCTAGCCACACATGGCTAGAACAAGATCACAAGAATAAAAGATGGAATTAAAGTGCAATTACAACTTACAAATACTAGAAATAATGTTTCCAAATGATTGCTAATCAAACCCTTGCAAAAACCTTTGAAAATCCTCCTCCAATGGTTCTCTGGTATGTTGTGTGTCTATAAAATGACCCTTAACCCGTAATATGAAAGATAGGAAAAACTGCCAAAAGTTGGTTTCTGGGTCGAACACGGCCCGTGTTAAAATAGGCTAAACTGACACGGGTCGTGTTCAGCAACACGCCCCGTGTTGATTTGCACTAAACTGACACGGGTCGTGTTCAGCATGGTCAACAGCTCCCATTTTGGTCAAACACGCCCCGTGCCCACTTTTCAGTGTAAATTCAACACGCCCCGTGTACCTCTCTGACTCCAATTCCAAACTTGATTTTTCCAACTTTTTAGTTCTTCGCCGGATCGTCCCGAAATCTCCACCAATGCTTCCCGACACTTCCCAAAGCGCGTTCCAACCTCCGGTTTACCTGAAAAAGATATAAAAGTGTGCAAATAAGGTTGTTCTAGAGACTAAAATGAATATGATAAAATGCAAGGAAAAGGAAGAACAATTGTGCTAAATATATGCATAAAATGGGACTAAAAGGTGTGCAAAAAGGTGCACAAATAGCACCTAACAAATCTCCCCAAACTTAGACCTTTCTTGTCCTCAAGAAAGAACAAGAACCGGACAACATGACGATTTCTAGATGGCAAAAAGAAAAACTTAGAACGAAAAGGGGATGAAGGATCCTAAAGGTTAAGAATGAATGCATGCAATGCAATGCCATGAAAATATGTTCAAAATGCACCTGAGAAACAAAATGAAGCAAAAGAAAAGAAAATTAAGAACAAACACAAAATATGTACTTTTGTAACTAAATAAAGGTACGATCAGACTTTACATCAATAGGGCTTCGATCATTGATACCTTGGCAACCATCCTGTTTCCTTCCACATATCACAGACTCTCAATGTGAGGAAGACCCGAAACGGTGTAACCCAATAATCCAACCAAAGTTTTATTTAATCTTTATACCTTACTAAGCTTTATGGGCGAAAATAACATAGTCCGGATTTCATGTCCTTAAGACTAAATGGCCAAGAATCAGAATCGACGCCTCCTTAAGAACCCGTCACGGCGAATCAGCTTTCGCTGAAACAGTGAGCCCACCCGAAGGGGCTCAGCTCCTATGCTTTCACTTTTTCGAGAGCCACAAGTATCATATCACACAGTTCTTCATTCGCCATATTTGACTTGAGTTGGCTTTTGATTTGATTGAGCTTTGATTTGTACTTCGTTTTGAATTTGGATTCTTCAATCTTCATCTTTGGAATTTCTTTAGATTTCTTCGTTTTGGTATTTGAAATTCTGATTAGGGTACTGGATATGACAGTTTTACCCTTCCTTCATTCTTGACTATGTGGGTCTGATACATACGCTCTCTGTTACCGCGGGGGTAACGCGTGTCAACAAATAGGTCCGTGTTCTGTGGGTTCAAAGTTGCCGATAAAGATTCTTTTTAAACATTCAAAAGCAAATCATCCTAAAGCTGTTATTACCGCCCAAAAAACGTTTCAATATAATTTTTTTTATTATCTGAGGGTAGGGTCTCGAATTACGATATTTGGGTCCCCTAGTTATGACAGCTGATTCTATGCTTCCGGTAACAATCCGGTTGCTTCGGTATTTTTCATTTCATGGAGCAATTGTATGTAAAGAGTGTCATCATCTCGTACACTTTTTTTTTTGAATGAAATTTGAAAATAAGAAAATGCATGCATGAGAATGAGTGAACCTAAAATACAAGTCTACCCCACCCCAAGCTTAAAGATAAGCATCGTCCCCGATGCTTGGAGAGGGTGGAACAACCTAAAACGGAGGTCGAGGAGGAGGATAGTAGCTGGGGTTTCAGGTCCAAGCCCAGAAGTCCTCCTCATGTTTGCGTTGACGCTCTTGATCCCGAGCGTACTGGGTGGTGAAGGTGGAAAAATTCTGGGTCAGGCTGGTAATATCCTGCTGATAGGTGTCGAGGCGGGTATGGATTGATTGGAATTCGTCCATATATTGTTGATGATAAGGCGGGGGTGCAGCAAAATGGGATGAGCTGCCACCACCGGTGGGAGAAGCATGGTGAGGCTCCTCCTTTTCTTCATCATCATCACCTTCTTCCTTGTTTTTTTCGCTTTGCTCATCGACCTCGGTGGAATAAGAGTGGGGGAAGATGTATGGAATGATTTGCCAATCAGTCATATGAATGGGATTTCGGAAATCAAGAATGCCTTTATTTTCTGGTGTGATGAGGAGCTTGGGATCATGATTTTGACCCACGGTCCAGTGGTGTGTACCATCGCCTGCCGAGCGGAAGAGTCGCATGGACTCAAGGATAGCGGTGGTGAGATAAGGCTCACCCGGCAGTGGCTGGTGGGGACTGGGGTATGGGGCTTGGATGTGGGCGCTCTTGGCGAGCATGCTGACAATACCCCCGCAAACAATCTTTCCTGATCGGGATGCGCTAAGGCGGATGAGCTTGTGGCACAGAAACCGACCATAATGAGGAATGAGGTTATTCTCGGGATGGGTCATTGCATAAAGGATTTTAAGTTCCAGCGCGCTAATGGTGCTTCGCTCCTCTCTAGGGGACGAGCGAAGTAATGATTCTGTGAGCTACCTTAATCACAGGATGGATAAGTGATGAGGCTTTAGCAGCGCTAGAGACATATGTATGTAATTGGGTGAGCTGGGTCCACCAAGTCATGTCATAGTATCCTTGGATTGGATCAGTGGGGCAAAATGTGTTTTCCGTTGGGGCCCCCACAATGGCATTGATTTGATCCAAGGAGAGCTCATAGTCTTGATTCATTAGACGGAAGTAGAGGATCCCATGATCTAAATAAACTGAGGATAGAAACTCAGCAGTTGGGACTTTATAGCTCAATTCATGGACCCTCAACAAGCCGTGCCACCCTATGTTGCGAAACAGGGTTTTGACTTGATTGTAAACATGCAACTCTTTCAAAGTTGGAACATGCGTGAATTTTTGGATGGCATGACCTCGTTTAAGGAATGACTCAAGTTTGCCTTGTTGAACTGGGCCAAGACATACGACACCAAAATGAGACGGGTCGGCTGGGGGTGTTGGGGACCTAGATGGAGGTGAGGGAGATCTGGATGGAGGTGATGGAGATCTAGGCTTCCGACGGCGGGCGGATGATTTGGTTTGTCTTGGTCTTTTGGAAGATGTAGCTTCCATAGTCAAGTTTGGGACAGATTAAAAGTCAACGGGTCAAAATGTCAAAAAGTCAACTGTTGACGGGTCCAGTCAACTTTGAACTTGGCCACCAAAATTTCGCGGGAAATTTGTTTTTCAAAGATTTCCAACTAAGAATCAAGTCCAAATAGACCACACTTTCAAGTATTTGACTCAAGAACACAAAATTCAAAGGTTAGGAGTTGGAAAGAATTTACCGAATCGTGTGTTGGATCGTGTTGTTCTTGATGGAAAAGATCTTCTTTAACCTCCCCAAGCTTGCCCCTTTCAAGATTGAGACACTAAAACACCAAAATTAAGTGAGAATTTTCGGATCTAGGGTTTGTCAAAACCCCCAAATCCACCATTAAAATGCAAGAAAATGGTGTTTAAGATGGAGAAGATGAAGTGTAGATGATGAAAATCAAACCTTTTTGTAGATGAAAGTCAAAATCTTGAAGAAATTGAAAGGTATTTGATGAAAATCGGAGCTAAGGTTTTTGTTGGGAGAGAGGGGCTGTTAGGAAGTGAAAGTGGGGATAAATGAGGTCAAGTCCCGATTTTTTTCTTTAAAAAGGGTCTGAACTGCTGCGCGAACACGACCCGTGTCTCCCCAGGCTAAATTGACACGCCCCGTGTTGGGGGGTTTATGCTGCGTTATGTACGAACACGACCCGTGTTGGGTCAAGGCCAAAAACAACACGACCCGTGTTGCTCTCTGGAAAAATTTGGGACTTTTTTGGATGAACACGGCCCGTGTTTCATTAAGGCTAGGATGGGACACGACCCGTGTTGGTCTCTGTAAGAATTTGGGACTTTTTTGCATGAACACGGCCCGTGTTTCATTAAGGCTAAGAGGGACACGACCCGTGTTGGTCCCTGGATGCTAATCCTCACTTTTTGAACTTGAAAATTTCCTCTCTTAGAAATGAAATACTTTTGCATTCCTAGGTCCGTTTGGTGATTTTAAATCATGATTGAATGCATTTGGAACATTGAAAACCAAAAACTCAAAGAAATGGAAATTGTTTTTAAGTAAAAGACAGAAATACCCCCGGGTTGTCTCCCGGTTAGCCGCCATTGTTTCAAGTCGTTGGCTCGACTTTGCCCCCACAAATGCTTCGTTCTAAGTATTTTGGGCCTCTCCAACACATCAATCTTCTTGCCACCTCCTTCAACGGAACCTTCAACCTTCCTTTGGCTTTCTTTTTGCGCAGAAACCAAAAAGGACTTAACCATTTTATATCAGAGATTGTCCACACCATCCTTTTTTGGTATTTTTTCAGCATGGTTATCAACTCACTCTCTTCCTTCTTTGATAATTTATTTGAGTTGATGACCGGTTGAGTGCTCTCCTTCTTGACATGTATTTTCTTTATAGGGCCCAGTGGAGTTTTTGCTCTCGAATCTTGTGCTTGTTCCACCGGTGGAAGGAATTTGGCTTTAGTGGTGGGTGACTCTACTTCTCTTCCATCAATCCACACGTGCTTATCATCCTTGAATTTCAAAATCTCCAGCACCTCCTCGTTTGTACCGCACTCCTTTGCAAGTTCTTCGGCTTTGTACCTGTCTAATTTTTGTGACAAGACTAACTCCACAAAATCATTGTTAGTCGAGTTTAAGCTCTTTTCAGCCAATGGGTGGATCATATTCACAAAATTAACAGATTGAACATCAGAAGGAACCTTTTTTTCTTCTTGAACATTGAAGTTGATAACTTCACCGTCAAATTCCGTACTTAAAGTTCCATTGTAGACATCAATTTTTGTTTTAGAAGTTTTAAGAAAAGGTCTACCCAAAAGTATGGAACTTGAACTTGGAGAGTCATCATCTCCCATATCTAAGACATAAAAATCAGCCGGGAAGATAAATTCATCGACTTGCACTAACACATCCTCTAGTACACCCTTTTGGTGTACCAAAGACCGATCGGCAAGTTGGATCTAGTACACCCTTTTGGTGTACCAAAGACCGGTCGGCAAGTTGGATGATCACACCGGTTTTGCTCAATGTTCCTACACCAATTGATTTGAAGAGAGAATATGGTAGGACATTTACGGATGCACCTAGATCGAGCATGGCTCGAGGTACATGAAGATTCCCCAATTTGCAAGGTATGGTAAATACACCGGGATCCTTACACTTAGGGGGCATACTCTTTTGCAAAACCGCGGATACATGCTCCCCAACTGTTACCACTTGATTTCCTTTTAATTTCTTTTTAGATACACAAAGATCCTTAAGGAACCTTGCATATCTAGGTACCTGCTTGATGGCCTCGAGGAGTGGAATGTTGATTTGAACTCTCTTGAACATTTGCATGATCTCACTCTCCTCCCGTTCTTTCTTCGTGCTCCTTAATCTTTCGGGAAATGGAGCAGGTGTGGCTTTAGACTCAGTGATGAAGGGCTTCTTTTTGACTGTTTTCTCTTCCTTCTTCTCTTCTTTGGTTGCTTCTTCGACCACTATTTCTTCTTTCTTTTGATCAACCGACACTTTTGGACCATCATAGCTCTTTCCGCCTCTCAATGTGATGGCACACACATTGTGCCTTGGGTTTGTTTCAGTTTGTGCAGGTAACTTTCCTTGAGATTCTAATTTGCTTACAGAAGTGGCAAGTTGTGAAACCTGTTTCTCTAAGTTCGTTATGCTTGCTTTTGTCTCTTGTTGGAAAGCTTGTGTACTAGTTGCCAAACTCTTTACTATGTCCTCTAAGGACATACTTGATGAACCCGATTGTTGAGGAGGGTGTTGTGGCTGCCTTGGCTGGAAGTTTTGTGGTGGAAAAGGTGGTCTTTGCTGGTATTGATGTGGTTGACTTGGTTGATTATTTGTCTGTTGATGTCCTCCCCAACCTTGATTGTTACTCCATCTTTGATCACCCCGTGGCTGCTCATATCCCCTTTGATTAGACCCAAGAAAACCTCCCATGACTTTTGCTTCTTCATAATCTTCCTCTTGGAGTTGTGGGCACATATCAGTTGGATGCCCCACTTGGGTGCAAATACCGCACGGGCGGGGTGTGGACTGCACACCTTTGTCTTTGGCTAACATCATGACTACTTTCGTGAGCTCGGACAATTGAGCTTCAATCTGAGGAGTTTGTACTTCTTTTACACCCCGGGGTGCATCCGTGTACCATTCTTCATCATGGCTTGAATGTTTGGAATCTTCAGCCATGTTCTTGATTAGATTTCGGATCTCAGTTGGGGTTTTATCGGGCAAAGATCCACCACTAGAGGCGTTAAGAAGCCTTCTTTCCATTGGTGTCATTCCTTCAATGAAATATTGGAGGAGTTGGTATTCGGTAATCCCATGCTTTGGGCATCGAGCACAAAGTTTCTTGAATCGATCCCAATATGCGTGAAAAGCTTCTCTCTTGTGCTGCTTGATTCCAATGATTTCCCTCCGTAGGGTGGAAGCTTTCATCTCGGGAAAGTACTTATCCAAAAACAACCTTGCAAGATCTACCCAAGTAGTTACCGTCCCCGGTGGGAGGTCATAAAGCCAGTCTTTGGCTGCATCTTGCACCGCAAAGGGGAATGCCCTAAGCTTAATCTGATCCTCCGTGACATTGTGTGGTTTCATACCCACACATACTACATGGAACTCGGTGAGGAACTTGTGAGGATCTTCTTCTCCAATCCTCTAAAAGTTGGGAGTAAGTGAATAAGCCCGGATTTTAGTTCAAGGTTTGTGGCAGCTGGATACGTGATACAAAGAGGTTGTTGAGTAACCTCTTGTCTTGACCATTGGCGGAGGGTTTGTTCGGGTGGTGGGTTTGGAGGTGGATTTCCTCCAGGGATGTCTGCCATGGCTTGAGAAGTGGGTGATGTTTCTGTAGGCGAAGTGTTTAGGATATTATGAACAGGTGAAGAAGGTGAAGTGGTATTGTTGGGTGAGGATGGTTGTGATGAGAGTGAGAGACTTTCTGTTTCTGATGTGGATACACTTGAGAGGGGTATGTCCTCCCAAATGTTGATGACCGGGGGAGTAGATGATGAAGAAGTCCCGGAACCCGGTTGCTTCTTACGAAGCTTGGCTTGCTTCCTTAGCTTCTTTGCAGTCTTCTCTATCTCCGTGTCAATTGGCAATGGCGTACCTGTACGAAAAGATCTTGGCATAAAACAATTAGTAACACCGTGTCCCCGACAACAGCGCCAATTTGTTAGGCGTGTCAAACCCAACAAATAAAGGGGTACGATATACTCCAAAATAATCCCACTATATTGCACTAAAAGGTAGTACAAGGCAAGCAGGGTCGATCCACAGAGACACAGGACAATTGGTCTATACCTATTTGCACAAGGTACTATAGTCACCAATAGTAAAAAGAGAGGGGGGTTTAGAATGTAATGATTAAACAAATAATTAAAAACATAAGCAATCAATTAAGTGCGTGAATTAAATTCAGAATTTGTGAGGACTCCAACCCCATGTATGACAATTTAGCAAATGTGACTCCAAGATGACACAATATTCATTCAATTCTATATAAGTTGGTACTTGAAAGTGCTAATAAGCTCTAACACTTCTCATTCACCATATTAATTAACCAAAACAAGCTCTTTGATTAACCCTAACCTTATTAACCTAATCTAAACAAGCTCTTAGGATTAGATTAAAAGATTGCATGAAGCTTTATGTGAATGTTCCCAACAACACCCAATACCCCTCATAAGCTCGGGAGTGTAAAAGTGTATGAATAAGATTTACACCAAATTCATTCAATAGAGATTAATTTAATGCTTGTTACTTGTTCAATTTCACAAAACAATTACGGATTTTGTAAAAGAGATAACTTGAATGATCTAACCCTAATTCAAATGGCCAATAAGAATCATAATTAGAATCAAACATTCGATTGAAGCAAAATCAAATTCATTAAATAGAAATTAAGAACAAATATCATGTCATATGAATGAAGTCACTACCAAGAAGTCAAAACATGAAATTGGAGAAATTAGTGTTCTAGCCACACATGGCTAGAACAAGATCACAAGAATAAAAGATGGAATTAAAGTGCAATTACAACTTAAAATACTAGAAATAATGTTTCGAAATGATTGCTAATCAAACCCTTGCAAAAACCTTTGAAAATCCTCCTCCAATGGTTCTGGTATGTTGTGTGTCTATAAAAATGACCCTTAACCCGTAATATGAAAGATAGGAAAAACTGCCAAAAGTTGGTTTCTGGGTCGAACACGGCCCGTGTTAAAATAGGCTAAACTGACACGGGTCGTGTTCAGCAACACGCCCCGTGTTGATTTGCACTAAACTGACACGGGTCGTGTTCAGCATGGTCAACAGCTCCCATTTTGGTCAAACACGCCCCGTGCCCACTTTTCAGTGTAAATTCAACACGCCCCGTGTACCTCTCTGACTCCAATTCCAAACTTGATTTTTCCAACTTTTTAGTTCTTCGCCGGATCGTCCCGAAATCTCCACCAATGCTTCCCGACACTTCCCAAAGCGCGTTCCAACCTCCGGTTTACCTGAAAAAGATATAAAAGTGTGCAAATAAGGTTGTTCTAGAGACTAAAATGAATATGATAAAATGCAAGGAAAAGGAAGAACAATTGTGCTAAATATATGCATAAAATGGGACTAAAAGGTGTGCAAAAAGGTGCACAAATAGCACCTAACAAATCTCCCCAAACTTAGACCTTTCTTGTCCTCAAGAAAGAACAAGAACGGACAACATGACGATTTCTAGATGGCAAAAAGAAAAACTTAGAACGAAAAGGGGATGAAGGATCCTAAAGGTTAAGAATGAATGCATGCAATGCAATGCCATGAAAATATGTTCAAAATGCACCTGAGAAACAAAATGAAGCAAAAGAAAAGAAAATTAAGAACAAACACAAAATATGTACTTTTGTAACTAAATAAAGGTACGATCAGACTTTACATCAATAGGGCTTCGATCATTGATACCTTGGCAACCATCCTGTTTCCTTCCACATATCACAGACTCTCAATGTGAGGAAGACCCGAAACGGTGTAACCCAATAATCCAACCAAAGTTTTATTTAATCTTTATACCTTACTAAGCTTTATGGGCGAAAATAACATAGTCCGGATTTCATGTCCTTAAGACTAAATGGCCAAGAATCAGAATCGACGCCTCCTTAAGAACCCGTCACGGCGAATCAGCTTTCGCTGAAACAGTGAGCCCAGAAGGGGCTCAGCTCCTATGCTTTCACTTTTTCGAGAGCCACAAGTATCATATCACACAGTTCTTCATTCGCCATATTTGACTTGAGTTGGCTTTTGATTTGATTGAGCTTTGATTTGTACTTCGTTTTGAATTTGGATTCTTCAATCTTCATCTTTGGAATTTCTTTAGATTTCTTCGTTTTGGTATTTGAAATCTGATTAGGGTACTGGATATGACAGTTTTACCCTTCCTCATTCTTGACTATGGGGTCTGATACATACGCTCTCTGTTACCGCGGGGGTAACGCGTGTCAACAAATAGGTCCGTGTTCTGTGGGTTCAAAGTTGCCGATAAAGATTCTTTTTAAACATTCAAAAGCAAATCATCCTAAAGCTGTTATTACCGCCCAAAAACGTTTCAATATAATTTTTTTTATTATCCTGAGGGTAGGGTCTCGAATTACGATATTTGGGTCCCCTAGTTATGACAGCTGATTCTATGCTTCGGTAACAATCCGGTTGCTTCGGTATTTTTCATTTCATGGACAATTGTATGTAAAGAGTGTCATCATCTCGTACACTTTTTTTTTGAATGAAATTTGAAAATAAGAAAATTTGAAAATAAGAAAATGCATGCATGAGAATGAGTGAACCTAAAATACAAGTCTCCCACAAGCTTAAAGATAAGCATCGTCCCCGATGCTTGGAGAGGTGGAACAACCTAAAACGGAGGTCGAGGAGGAGGATAGTAGCTGGGGTTTCAGGTCCAAGCCCAGAAGTCCTCCTCATGTTTGCGTTGACGCTCTTGATCCCGAGCGTACTGGGGGTGAAGGTGGAAAAATTCTGGGTCAGGCTGGTAATATCCTGCTGATAGGTGTCGAGGCGGGTATGATTGATTGGAATTCGTCCATATATTGTTGATGATAAGGCGGGGGTGCAGCAAAATGGGATGAGCTGCCACCACCGGTGGGAGAAGCATGGTGAGGCTCCTCCTCTTCTTCATCATCATCACCTTCTTCCTTGTTTTTTCGCTTTGCTCATCGACCTCTGGTGGAATAAGAGTGGGGAAGATGTATGGAATGATTTGCCAATCAGTCATATGAATGGGATTTCGGAAATCAAGAATGCCTTTATTTTCTGTGTGATGAGGAGCTTGGGATCATGATTTTGACCCACGGTCCAGTGGTGTGTACCATCGCCTGCCGAGCGGAAGAGTCGCATGGACTCAAGGATAGCGGTGGTGAGATAAGGCTCACCCGGCAGTGGCTGGTAGGGACTGGGGTATGGGGCTTGGATGTGGGCGCTCTTGGCGAGCATGCTGACAATACCCCGCAAACAATCTTCCTGATCGGGATGCGCTAAGGCGGATGAGCTTGTGGCACAGAAACCGACCATAATGAGGAATGAGGTTATTCTCGGGATGGGTCATTGCATAAAGGATTTTAAGTTCCAGCGCGCTAATGGTGCTTCGCTCCTCTCTAGGGGCGACGAGCGAAGTAATGATTCTGTGAGCTACCTTAATCACAGGATGGATAAGTGATGAGGCTTTAGCAGCGCTAAGAGACATATGTATGTAATTGGGTGAGCTGGGTCCACCAAGTCATGTCATAGTATCCTTGGATTGGATCAGTGGGGCAAAATGTGTTTTTCCGTTGGGGGCCCCCACAATGGCATTGATTTGATCCAAGGA